AAGCCAGTGCAAAATGCTCAGCAGCTAAAATTCATCTTCTGAAGTTTTCTTTTTATTCATCTAGAAATTTCTCATAATTCGTCATTTTTCTTTCCACATGCAGTGCCCACAAGTACACCTGACCCCAAATTCTTGCCATCTCAGCCAAACTATGTTAACCTCAAACCACCAAACCTGCTTCAGTACCAAAAAAAAAAAAAAAGTTCTAAACAAGTCCCACAGTGTCAGAATGAAGGGAATTTCACTTCTAATTCCCAGTTAGAAATTAAGAAATTATGTAAGACAAACAGAGCCCAATTTACATACCTTCTCAAGTATGTACCCGTGCCTCACCTTCCCCATTTGGGGAATCTTCCACCCTAGCTGGGAGCCACCAAAGTGGATCACACCAGCCAATATATGCTCTACCCACCCCCTACCCACCCCCAGCAATGTGGGCACCAAACTTGGCTCTGCCAGGTGCATGCTCCTTATGGGTATTTTGTACCTGGAACAATTATTCTAGAGAAGCAGATGTGGGAAGACTTGTCTTCAGGGGAGCAGCACTCTCAGTGCACCTGGGGATGGGGGGCAGGCAGTGGTGGGCTGCACATTTCTGGATGGTGGTCCCACCCCTCACATGGTTATGACCTGTTTGCTGAATCATGTTCTCAGCCTTCCCATGGATTCTACAAACTACCCCATGTCTTTACCTGCTTCAGTTCATCAGAATCCACACCTGCCATTTGCAACCTTGCAGAACTATTACAGGGCAAAGGCAGGTGACACTTACTCACTTACCACATATACCAGATGCCCAGCAGCACCCTAGTGCTATGGAGACACAGAGACAGAGGGAAGCAGTCCCCTCCCCTGAAGGGGCTGCATTTCAGTCTGAATGGAGAAAATACAACATACCAATGTACAGGAGTTGAAATAGTAGTAAGACAATAGAGAGCCAAGGGTGCAGCATGAGGTCCGTAGAAGCCCCAGAAAAGCAAGACGCTCTGATGGGTGCTGCCCTGTTCCTAGGAAGGCAAGCACATCCAGCTGAGGTCACTCCTCAACAAAGGACTCAAGGCTCACAACTTGCCTGTCCCACATGGTGCTGCTGGCGTGATAGCCACTTGGCTACCTGCAGTTCTTATGAAACACTTGAAAACCTGAATGGTCTAGAGCTAAAAAATCCCATGTTCTTTATTTATTTTTAAATCCTCACCAGAGGATATGTTCAGTGATTTTGAGAGACAGAGAGAGAGACACAGAGAAGGAGAGACATCAATGTGAGAAACAGTGATCGGCTGCCTCCCGTACACTCTGACTGGGGGTCTAATCCACAACCTAGCTATGTGCCCTGACCAGGCATCACATCCGCAACTTTTCGGTGTACGAGATGCTACTCCAACCGATGGAGCCCAGGGCAAAATCACATGCACTTCCACCAACTTTGTGACCTACTGGCAATATAACTTGAAAAGGGAAATGAGAGTCAGACATTCTTTTCTCAGACAAAATTCTTTTCTCAGACACTTGGGCCCTGACACCGACAGCTTCCCATGGACGTTAGTTTGATAAAGTGTTTTCTCTCTTGTTGTCTGCTCTGTGAGCAAAGTTTCAATTTTATTGAAACTTACCCATTACATTTAATTTTGTTGTAAATACTACCATGAAAAATCAACAGATTATTTATATGTTTTCCAAGCTAAAAATCTGATACCTCATATACTGGGTTGGCCAAAAAATTCATTTGTTTTTTTCCACCCATAAGATGGCTCTTGTAGCGCTTAGCTGTCTTCAACTTCATTTAAAACAATTTTGTTAGACTGTTATTCTGACAGCTGTTGTATCAGCATGCATTTAAAAAAGAACTTATCAAGAATGGTGAATTTTTGGTGTAACCAATTTTAGTACTGAAGATGAAAGAAAATATGCAACATTTTCAGCATATTATGCTTTATTATTTCAAGAAAATGCAACTGAAACACAAAGATTTTTTGCAGTATGGGCAGAAGGTGCTATGACCGATCAAACATGTCAAAAGTGGTTTGTGAAGTTTCATGCTGGAGATTTCTCATTGGACGATGTTCCACAGTCCAGTCAACCAGTTGAAGTTGACAACGATCAAATCGAGACATTAGGACTTACGGCCAAGATGGAGGTGAAGGTGGAAACACTGTGCCTCCTCGCACAACCAAGTTTAAAGACAACAAAGTTTTAGCAAAAAAAAAAAGCAACCAAAACACAGAAAATTGAACTGTGCGGAAGTCCAACAACAACGAACCATTCAGCCAGACTGGTAAGAGGGGCAGAGTCAGGCTGGTGGAGAGGGGTCACACAGGAAAAGGTGGCCAGACCGACCCCGGTGCACAGGCGGTGGTTGGCAGATCCCAGGTATGGGGTGGCAATGGGAAGACCCAGTGGGGACCCGAGGTGGCTGGCTAATCACAGTCACACATACATGCACAGATAAACTAGGAAAAGGAGAGAGCAGTGAGACAGACTGTGCAGGCTAGGGCCCCAGCGACAGGAATTAAAGCCTAAAAGCACCAATTGGAAAAACTTTCAGGGTCGAGGTGCTGGGAGAAGCTCCCAGGCTCACAGAAACTTTGTTGGAGAGACCCACAGGGTCCTGGAGGGTACACAAGGCCACAAATCTGGGAACTAGCAGCAGAAGGGCCCAATTTGCTTGCGTGAATTGGCAGAGGGGACCGAAATCCAAGAGAGCAGAACAAACACCACTGCCCCTCTCTGACCCCAACCCCACATACAGCATTACAACCCAGTGACTAGGTCATCCCACCCTGGTGAACACCTAAGGCTCCGCCCCTCATACGTAAGGGGCATGACCTGACCAAAACATTATGGCTCAGAAAGAACAGCTCAAAGCCCCAGAGCCAATACTTCTAAGCGACCAAGAGATAGCCAACCTATCAGATGCACAGTTCAAAACACTGGTCATCAGGATGCTCACAGAACTGGTTGATTTTAGTCACAAATTAGAGGAACAAATGAAGGCTAAACTAATTGAAATGAAGGGAAATGCACAGGAAACCAATAGTGATGGAAAGGAAACTGGTACTCAAATCAAGGGAGTGGACCAGAAGGAAGAAAAAAATGACCAAACAGAAAAGAATGAAGAAACAAGAATTCAAAAAAATGAGGAGAGGCTTAGGAACCTCCAGGACATCTTTAAATGCTCCGACATCCGAATTATAGAGGTACCAAAAGGGGAAGAGGAAGAGCAACAAGTGGAAAACTTATTTGAACAAATAATAAAGAAGAATTTCCCCAATCTGGCAAAGGAAATAGACTTCCAAAAAATCCAGGAAGCTCAGAGAGCTTCCCAAAGAAGTTGGACCCAAGAAGGAACACACAAAGGCACATCATCATTACATTAGCTAAGATTAAAATGAAGAAAATAATTCTAGAAGAGATACGGGGACAGTCACCTACAATGGAGTTCCCATCAGACTGTCAGCTGATCTCTCAAAAGAGACCTTACAGGCAAGAAAGGGCTGGAAAGAAGTATTCCAAGTCATGAAATCCAAAGACCTACATCCAAGATTGCTCTATCTAGCAAAGCTTTCATTTAGAATGGAAAGGCAGATAAAGTGCTTCTCAGATAATGTGAAGTTGAAGGAGTTCATCATCACCAAGCCCTTATTATATGAAATGTTAAGGGACTTATCTAAGAAAAGACAAAAAACATGTACAGTAGAATGACAGCAAACTCATTATTAACAACCACACCTAAAACAAAAACAAACTAAGCAAACAAGTAGAACAGGAACAGAACCACAGAAATGGAGATCACATGGAGGGTTAGCAACAGGGGAGTAGGAGGAGGAGAAGGGGGGAGAAGGTACAGAAAATAAGTAGCATAGATGGTAGGTAGAAAATAGGTAGGGGGGAGGGCAAGAGTAGTGTGAGAAATACAGAATCTAAAGAACTTGCAACACATGTTCATGAACTAAAGGGGGGGAATGGTGGGGGAGGGGTATGCAAGGTGGAGGGGAGTGAAGGGGGGAAATGGGGTAACTGTAATGGCATAATCAATAAAGTATATATTTTTAAAAATGAGACATTAACTGAGAACAGTGAATGTTATACCATGTGGAAGACAGCTAACATACTCAAAATACCCAAATCAATGAAGTTACTGGTGAGAATGAAAAAAATGTGTATTTTACAGAAAAAAAAACAACCCAACTTTTGGACTTTTTGGACAACCCAATGTATCTGGATCTGTCAGTGAAACAAAGTTAATTTTAAAATTCTAAGCATGAACTTTTGGGTTTGCTGACTGGGCAGCAAAGTAAAAACCAAGAAGCTTGTCCCTCTTCATAAGAAATATTTGCATCCAACAAGGACATGTCTGCAGTGACCTTGGTCAATGTGAGTAAAAGAAAATAAAGGTTGTAAAACACTAAATATAATTTAGGAAGGGTTTTGGGCCTTGCCATATTTGTATGTAATAGCTACTGAAATACGTTTTATAGCAACTGTGCCCTCAATCTCATGGCTTATCTAAATCAATGATGCAGTAAATGGGTGTAAATGCAAACAGAATGTCACAGATATGTTTTCATCACCTGAAGAGAAAACCACAAGCCTCAGCAAGAGGGACTGATGGACTCTGATACAGGTCATTTGCCACAAAAGGTCCAAGAGCTCTACCTTTTGCTCTCTGTTAACTTACGCTGGGGGTGGGATGGAATGTACCTCTGGTGCAACATCCCACAATGCAAAGCTAGGTGGACAGAAGATCCAGTCACCTTGTGAAAAATGTGACTAAGTAGTAGGAGTCATTGGGTACCAACAGAAGCTATTTGCAGGTTGGCCTATCTTTTCTCATGTTCCGTACTGAATGTGTAAAAGAAAACAGTGCTGGGACCCTGGGTGGCCCTATGTTTTTAGGGCTTACTCTGACCAACCACTACTGAGCAGTCTCAAGGCCAGGAGACAACTACCTGCCAGGAAAGCACTTTATTTTTCTGCAAAAGTGCTGGCAGATTTCTTACCTTCTCAAGCAGTCTGTCAGCGTCGTGGTCCCTGACACATGGTTGTCTCCGTTCACCACACTGCCCTCACTCCCTGGGCTCAGGGGCCAGAATGGAGTGGAAGAGCCGGGCAGATCTAAACTGATGTCCCAGAAGGGGTCTATTGTGGTAGAGACCCCACTAAAAGCAAAAGGAGACAGAGACACACATGAGAACTGATACCCAACCACAACCTCACGAGGTATATCTCAGCGCTCGGGTCACAGCTTTGCCTTTTCCAAATGGCATCTCAGGCCAAAAAAAGATGTGCTCACACCCAGTGCACCTTGGGGCCCCAGGGAGCGGCACCGTGCAAACCACGCAGGCCAAGGCTGCTTCTGAGGCAGTGGTCTCTACACCCAGAAGACTAGCACAATCGTTTCAGGACTTTTTCTGGACCCCACGTCTGGTGGCTCTGAATGAATGGCTCCATGTCAGCAATATCAGAGACCTGAGAACTGCAAAGTCCTGGCCAGCACTCGGACCCCCAAGCACATGTCCCACAGAGAGCAGGCACCAACCACTCAGCACCCCAAGCTGAACAGCAGCATTTAAAATCTTACCTACCAAAGTCAATTCGCTTCTGGAGATTTATTTTAAAATATACCAACAGGAAACTCACAGGCTGGAAAATTTACTAGGGAAATTAAACAGTATATAAATGCGACACAATCTCTTGCTAGTGGACTTCAATGGTATGGGGCCAAGGAGGCAGCTACTTAAACCCGTAAGTGTCGAGTGCTTAGTGTAGTGGCCCATGAGAACAGACGCTACTTAACAGAAAATTGCACTTGTGACACTTGCAGGCAAAGCCGACTCTTCCCACTATCTGGTCTGTCCTATACAAACTGCAAGTGGTAATTCATTATGTTTTAAAATTTTAATGGATCATGACCAGGGTTTTTAAAGAAGCTGAAGGGAAATAAAAAATGTGGAAATGCACTGGGTGAATGAAAGGGTTCTAACCTCCCCACCAATGCACTTGCCTCTGGGAAATGAAGGCTTTCAGTTTTAACCATGGAACTGAAACCTGTAGAGAAATTAGGGACACTACTTGAGAGAAAGTGGAAAAGGAGAGTGTGAAATATTTCAAACACACTTGGGAGCCTTGGTCAAGCATCTACCCTATGTGGCCCAGTCTTTGAAGGGTGCTCTTTTTTGACTCCTAGTTTCGGGGACCTGAAGGAAAGCAGAGATGACAGCAATAGGTGGCCACACCTGAAGCCTTGCAGCCCCGGGGGGACACTGCCCTGATGTCCTTCACACTCAAGGCAATTTGCTCATTTCTCATGCCTTTTCTGTTGGGGTTATTTCATCCCAACACATGTCAATGTCTGTCTAAATAAAACTTCCTGCTTTTTACCTGGCTGTGCAGCAGCTGCTCCACCATCAGCCCCATGTCACCAAGAAAGCATTACTGGGGTGGCACTGACTATGTATTATAGTCCAGGAATTTAAAAGTTTTAAAAACTTCTCAGAATACAACAGTCTACAGACTAAAAGGGTACCATGATGTTGATAAGCAGTGTCAGTGAACTCGGTTTCCCTGAAAGCACCTGGGCTCCCCCATTATGATCTGGTCAGCAGGGCCTGGAAGGCCCCTGGCCTTCCAGAATACTCCATGTCCAGTGGAAAGCCTCCACTTACTGGCAGACTTGGCAGGTGACGTCCGACTGCAGTCCCCCTGTGAAGATCTGGTCTATGATGCAGTTGCAGTGGTTGGGGTTGTTCGCCTTCTTCCCATTATCATCACCTGGGGAAAAACCAGACCTCTGTGATTCACATCTACAGCCCCCTCCTGCCCTCCCACCCAAAGTCATCAAGTTTCCAAGAGCCACAGACCCAGGAGACCAGGCCATTCAAGCACAGAAGCACCATGAAGTCAGAGGCGCCAACACTTCAAGGGCCAAAGGGCCCTTGAAGATACTTCATATTCAAAAGACAGCCCTGGTGCAGAAAAGGGGGATGACCAAGCCAGTCTGTTTTATTTTCAATTTCGTCTTTCCCACGCCCTAAGAAAATATCCTTAGCTTCTTTCTTAGCACCAAAATGCACCCGATGCCCAGAGGACTGGGGCCCTGGCACATCAGGGTGCAGAGCTTAAAGCCTGCTTTACAGGCTGTGAGGGCAGATGGCTATGCTTTTCTACTCCCAGGAAGGCTGGAAGACAAACTAAAACCTATTTTCTCCTGTTGTAAAAACAAGCTATAAAGAACCTATTGAGGATAATTCCAGTTTTTCTTATTGGGGAAAAAATACCGTGAGAACACAAATCAAGCGGTCCCAGGCGAGCTTGTCCTGGTTTGCAGGAGTGCGCCCACATGCTCACCCCCTGCAATGGCATGAGGTACAAGCCCACACCTTTGCAGTGCCGATGCAGGACGTCCAGAGCTGCGATGAGGAACTCATGGGCATCCTGCTGCTCATACCCTGCCAGGTGCCGGGCGTGAGTCCACACCAGGTGCAGCAACTTGTATGGGATGTGGGGTGACCGGTGCCCAGAGTAAAACTGCTCAGAGAGAGAAGGGAAACAAAATCCCTTGTCAGGCACAAATGCCACACACTGAACACAAAGCACACATGCACAAAAATACTTAACAGCTGCCTAAATTTGGACTTAATAAGACTTTCTGAGTCTGCATACCCGTTTTCTTCCTTCCTACCATCTAGTTTTCTATGATAAGCCTAGATGATGAATTACAATGTGTTTGTCAAGAGAAACAGATGATACACTAAAGGGTGAATTCTGCTGTTTTAAAATATACCTCAATAGACTCGAGCCTATTTGTCACCCAACAGTACCTAAGAGAAATGGCTGAAATCCATGACAGGAAGTGACACGTAACTGCACCTGCCTCTCTCCCATTTGGGCCCAATGATTTCATTCAGTTTGCTCACTGCTGTGACCCCAATAGCTACAGGCATGCTGTGAACATGAAGAAACTGAGTCAGGCTAGACCAGAGGTGGGCAAACTTTTTCTGAAATGGGACAGACAGCAAATGACTCTGGCCTGCAGCTCTCAAGGGTCACTGACACAGACGAGATGCGCCTGCAGTTCCTGTGCCTGACACCTGAAGGACATCTGGGATGTCCCAGCAGCCTATGCAACAGGTAACTGCCCCACTTTGTGGGTGGGGTAGCTGGGCTGCCTCAGTTCTGAGAGGCTTTCTGCGGCCACCGAGCGGAGTGCAGAGGGCCCAACCGGAGGGTGCCTGAACCATCACGCTCAGGGACAGACATGGAGAAGACAGACGTGAGTGTGGCCTACAATCCAACAAGGGAAGCAGAACCTGATGCTTGGGACACAGGGTCACACAGACAGGTCTGGGGAAGCACACCCACAAGGTGTAGTGCTAGAAGAGACCTACGGTTCCCAGGAACAGAGTGGGGGAGCAGCGCATGCATGGCCCCACGCCTCCCGGGAGTCCAACGGCAGACTGCAGGGGAGGGGTCTCCCACAGCATCACAGCCCGACACCAGCCACTGGCTGTGCCACTCTGAGGCTCTTCCTCCTCCTCCTCTCAGTCAGCTCCATGCCTCAAAAAATGTCAAGAGTCTCCTACTTCATGTTGCCTTTTTGGAAAAATTTGACCCTTCTATAATAAAAGCATACAGTAAAAACTTACTCATTATGTCAGGTTTTAGAAATTTGCCTTCCTTTATTATGTTGCAGTCAACCTTATTTTATTTTTTTAAAAAGGGGAAGAAAAAATGTAGTGACAGAAACATGACACTGCCCAAGTCAGTGGTGCTCACCTCTTGGAAAAGGGATGACATCTCACAGACCAGGCAGGAGCTGGGGCTCTGCATCTCACAGCGGTGCCGGTCAGAGAGGAAGAAGTCTCGCAACAGCGGGGTGTGTGTGAGGGCCTGGACTATACAGTTCATGAAGCATGTGTTCCCCAGGTTGATGAGCCCTCGCAGACCTGGGAGGGTGGACAGCAGAGGGGTGACTGGGGCCCAACCCACAGGCACAGCTGGACCCCAACGGGATCGCAGCAGTGCCACAGTGATATGTCTGTGTGCATTCACTTACTCATTCAAGAGGAAAAGAACAGAAAGAAATGTCAATGTTTTTGACAGTTTTATGCCACTTTTAAATGAACCAGACTGAATTCCTCGTACATCACCATCACCCCCCTGGCCTCGTGCCCCACCCTCCCCCTGCTGTTCAGCTACTATATGTAATGTTCTGATTAAATTACCCAAATAAATTCTTTAACTGCAGGCAACAGGACAGGTCAGAATGGAGGTCCTCTAACAACAAAACTAGCTTTTAAAAATGTTTCTAAAATGTATTCCTTCAAGTCTCAGGAAACCCAGAGGATACACTCACACACACATTCCACCCCCTGGAGACAAATGCACATAGCTCCACCTGGTGAGAGGCTCTGAGCCTTGTACACAGATGGGCTCTGCAGGGCAAGGACCCTCCCTTTCCACCGGGCACCACTCCCCAAGCCCAACAAAGGTCCCCACAGAGTGCAGGTGCTCAAGAAGTAGCCAGTGAGTACAAGGATGAAGCAGAGTTACTCTGGGGCTTAAAGTGCCATGTTACAAAACCCACATTTTTACATCTACAAACTTGAAACCCTAAGAAGCAAGCCTGACATGGAGAGAAAACAGGCCCCCACGCCAAGAACCATCACCCACCTACCTATGGTGCAGTTGGAAGTGATCTTTCGCCTTTTCGGGTTATGCTTTAGCAGTTCAAGCTCCCGTTTGCTTGGTTCCCACGTTGAAAACTTCTCTCCAACACCTACACAGATGAAAACCAGGTCCAGGTGTTGTTAGCTACATTTGTATCCTGTGTTGTCTGTGAGCACACATGATGGTGGCAATGCACTACTACTCAGCGGGCCATCTTTCAGAAGGCGCACCCATAGCATAAAGTGCTTCTAAAACCCAATTATGCTGAAGCAGGCTGAGTAGAGACTGTGTTATAGCCACAATGTTCACTGCAAGAAGCAAGGCAACACCTGTAATTAATGCTGCCCTGACCCTGACGCTGCGGTGGCTGCTTCCCAAAGCCTCAATCTTGAAGACAGAGAGACTGCAGCCTTGGCACCCTTGAAAAGAATCTCTGGTGAATAAGCAACACTGACAGACATAAAATATATTTTTTTAATATATTTTGAAAAATACATCTTGTTGAATGGAAATGAAACAAAATAATGCTATAAATGCTAGTAAGTACCACATTTCAGCCTACTAAACCCCCAATTCACACTGAGACACCTGTCCCATGCTACTGAAAATGTCTGTATAATTCAATAAGCTTTATAAGAGTAGCATCTGCTCACAGATGGAACTGCAGAAAGACTTTTGAAGAATTCTGCTTTACTTCAGAACCTGCATCTCTTAGCCCTGTGCTTTAAGTGTTCTGCCCGAAGAAATAGGACACTCAGACTCAGTGGCAATGTTACTAAATTTAATACAAATCCTTACTGGAGGACATGCTTATTGAGGGGAAGGGGGCAGAGAAACATTGACTGGTTTCCTCCAGTATGCACCCCCACCTAGGGATCAAACCCATGATGTTTCAGTTTATGGGACAACCCTACAAGTAACTAACTGGGCTACTCAGCCAGGGCAATGTCACTAAATTTTCAAGTGGGAAAGATTAGGAAGTTAAACTCACCGTTCTCCAGAAAAGATCTGTTAAACAGCTGTAATTCTGATCACAACTATTTCAATTCCTTCTCTCTCTCAAAAAAACGGGTGGCAGTTTCTAAAGCAGAAGCAGAGGCTGGCTTGTAAGTCTCTTTGTAAACACTGACAGCTCTGCTGGTTGAGAGATGCCCCCAGTCAAGTAGGGGGGCTGCACCAACCACTGTCCTAACAGCACAGGCACATGTAGGAGATGAAAACTAAAAAGGGGGCACATCAGGGTAGCCGAAAAGAAATGAATGAACAATGAAGAGAATGGATGCAATATGTGTGTGTGGCCCAATGAAGACAGCGTGCATGTGGATGAAAGGTAGGAGAGAGGATGAAAGAGGAGCCTGCGGCAGCAGGGCCACAAGGCACTGCACAGGAGAGCCGAGTCCCGCAGGAGGGGGCTGTTTACGCAGGTCATTACACTCTCCATCTGGCAATTTTAAGTCTCTGTTAACACAGATCAAACATGACCCAAACGGTTAAGAATTTGAAAAGAGATTCTATAATAATGTCATCAGAAAACAGCCTGCCCTCCTGGAAGGAACCAAGGACATTAATACATTAATATTAATGTATATATGTTAATATTGCTGAGGAAATGCTGCTTTCTGAAACACTGAAGAACTAACAGCAAACTACTCACCAGGGGCCACCTGGGGACATGGCCTTCCTAGTGTGATACCTATGAACAGACCCTTAAATGGGAGAACATCAATGTTGGTGCATGTTTTTCTCCACTCTAGTGGAGACCCTCACAGCAGCCACAGGCCCTTGCAAGACCTGGGGCAAAGGTCAGCTCTGGGAAACTGCAGGAAGTGATGGTCATTTGCACCTACAGGGCCAGTCCTCCCACCTGCCTGTCCTGGGTCCTAGGCTGGCTCCACAGGAGGAAGCACACAGGTAGGTGCGTGTGTGCGTGCGTGTGCACGCATGCACACTCGTGCACGGGGGTGGGGGTATCTTTCCACTGAATAGCAAACATCCAGCTCTCTCCTACCATCCCCCTACACGAACTGTCTCCCTACACTGATTGTCTCCCTAGATATTGATCCTTCTTTCAGTGAGTCTGCCCTCAACAGACATAAGGGAATCGGGACTAAGAAATAAATGAGGCGAGTGAATATAGGCAAGCCCAAACCTTGCATTTTCCCAGCTCTCTGTCGTTCCTCTTTGGCAATGATTTCCATGTCTTTGTCATAGATGTAGTCCTGGCATAAAAAGCAGTAGATGCCTCCATACATCAGTTCTATGGCTGAAAAGACATAGGAGGACAGAGACAAAACATAACTAAAAATGAGAAGGTAATGCTTAAGAACACAATCAGACACACAAGTTTTTTAGATAAGACTCTTTATAGCATTATAGCCCTGCTCTCACATCGCAGAACTCTGTTAGCACGAAAGGGTTCGCTCCCACTCGTCTGTCCCACACACACGAGGTCTCTTTTCTCTGGAAGCTCCCACCAAAGGCCGAGGCATCAGGGCGAGAACAAGGTGCCACATTCGTATTTTATAAAGGACCTAACACTCAACTAGCTGGGGACCCTCTGCCTTTTCTCTGAAAGAGCAGTATTTAAAACAAGTTTCCCCTTGTTTTAAATAAGAAATCTTGGCCCGATATACAGGAACCACATTTTACTACCTTGAGAATTTCTGGTACTGTTACAAAGAGAATGCAATAATTATCTGCCTACTCAGTTTTTTTAACCCTCACCTAAGGACATTTTTTCATTGCTGAGAGAGAGAGGGGGAGAGAAACACTGATATGAGACATCGTTGGTTACCTCACATTTGTGCCCCAACTAGGTATTGAATCCATAATCTTTTGGTGTATGAGCCAACGCTCCAACCAACTGCACCACCCACCCAGCCAGGGCTACTCTTACTTTAAAATAGCAGAAATTATCCTTTGACCAGGTAACCTGGCTTCTTGACCCTGAGCTGCCTATTACCCACTTGTGAGTGGGTCCTGCATACTTTCTCAACTTCTATACAATATGGTGACACTTGGCTCCTAATTCCATCATTATAAAGATACATAAGATAAAGTCCTTTGAGCAGTGGAAGAAAGGTACTATTTCAATTCAACTAAAAAGAATTGTTTGTCCTAGAGACACCAGGTACCTCAGGTGCCAGAGTGGCATTGTAGTATGGAGGAGACAGTGCACACCTCTGGAGTGATTGGTACTGACCCCACTCCACCACTCAGCAGTCACTTGCCTCCGATAAACACCTCCATTCCTGAGTGTCGGTTCTGGTGGTGACAGTAACAGCACTGACACCTCCCAATTTTCTATGGTAGTTAAATTAGTACATGTAAGCACGACACACATGCTGGTAAACAGTAATGTCTTAATCAATCCCAGCTTTCCCCTATCTCATGTCTTCAAGTAGCAGGAAACAGATCAGTATTGTCATGGTGGGTCTGTAAAGTCCTCTAAAACACATCTATGAAAACATGAAATAGCAAGTTAGGAATCCCATGCTTACTCTTTACCCCTCCCGAGAAACAGAGAAACTCCTGACAAACTCTGCCACAGCTGTTCCTGAGAGCTCAGCCAGCTGCCCTTTGGCACCACATGTTCCTAAACAGATGAAAATTTTCAGAGCAACAAAAGCAGCCAGAGAATGCCTTTTAAAAATATACCAAGTGTACAGCCAACAGCAAAACCACCAGCCTGGGAAGGTGCATATTCAAGTCCCTCCAAGAGTCCCTTTTGTGGTGCTTTCCCACGGCATCACTTTATCACTGTACAAAACTGGTGATGTCAACGGGGATCAAAAGTGGGAAAGGACATTGCTTCCGACAAACAGTGTTGGGACAAGGCATCGTCTGCATGCAAAAGATGGAAGCTGGACCCTTACCTGACTCTATGTAACAAAAATTAACTCAAAATGCATCAATGACCTAAATATAAGAGGTAAAGTATAAAACTCTAAGAAGAAAACAGGTTCATGACCTCAGGTCTGGCAACGGCTGCTATATTTAATATCAAAAGCACAAGCACAAAAACATACAAAAAAGATAAAATGGACTTCATCAAAATGTATAGAAGTTTGTACATTTGAAGATACTATTAAGAAAGCAAAAGGGGAACCTATAGGTTCAGATAAAATATCTGCAAACCATCTACATGATAAGGGTTCACAACCCAGCAGAATATGCCACTTCATTCTCAGGTACATACACAAAAGAAATGAAAGCATACACCCACGTAGAAACGTTCACACGTAGGTTTATAACAGCATTATTTATGAGTGTATGCACCTGAGAGTAGACAACCAAAAAGTAGAAAACAACCAAAGTGTCTATCAATGGATGAGCAAACAAAATGTGGTACATCTCTAAAGAGCCATGCAAAGGGACCTCTTTTGACCACACAGGGAATGATGCACTGACACATACTACAGCAGGGATGGACCTCGAAAACAAAAGGTCACATAGTGTATGATTCCTTTTAAATACAATGTACAGAGTATTTTTATAGAGACAAAAAGCAGATTGATGGTTGTCAGGGGCTGGGGGAGGGAAGAACCTGGGGATGAAGTTTTAAAAGTAGAGATGATGGTTGTACATCATCATAAATAACTAAAATGTTTAACTGTACACTATGCACGTTTCACTTCAATATAAAATTTAAAAACTGAAAGCAACACATACATTCAATATAGTTAACTTGGAAAATTACTTCAGTCACAATATCTATTCCAAGGACAAAGCCTTGACCACACGAACCCCAGGAGCAGTTCAGGCCCCTGGAGAAGGGAGGAATGAGCTGGAGAGGGACCCTGCAGTGCAGGGGCTCCGTGTTGACTTTGTTTTTGTGCGGCAGCTTCTTTGGCAAGTTTCAAGTCTGCTGTTCCAGAGGACACAGGCACCCTGCATGGGCAGGTCTTTCTCCCTCTGGTCACATGGTGCCCTTGAGAATGGAGGGAAAACATCATCAGCTCGGAAGTGAGCTGATGCCCTGCACCCTGTGCTGCACTCTTCTAAGACGCACAGAATGAGCTAAAGGCATTACTTCTACACTGTATGTGGCTCCCACAGGCAGAATGCAAGCATCCCTGTAGCTCAACATAAGACAAAAACCTTTATGAAACTAAAGTCTGAAATCAAATAGCTCTTAAGTTATCTCACTCTCTTCCTCAGCTTCCTAGGACTCCAAACACTCAGGTTAGCCTGTCTACCAGTACTGATGAAGTGAGTTGACAGCTGTTGCATGGAAAATACAATCATTAAACAGATACAAGAATAAACTCCGTGTTTTGTGCACTCAAAACTGCATACTTCTTATTGCCCCACTCTGTATATGAGTAAATCTGACTGAGTACACCAACTTAGAATACTTTTTTTTTTTGTGGATGCATTTTTATTGCATTAAGTCAATTTTACAGGACAGGATGCACAAAGGAAGACTGCCTTATGAGACTGCCACCAAACCATTCTTATCCCTGCCTAATCTTCCACAACCACCTCAGTGCTACTTACACTGCTTGCAGATGCGCCATCCCCAACATTCAGGAGAGACGCACCACAGCCCTCCTCACCACCTAGACACAAAACTAATTCCTGCTTTGTTAGCACTTACACAGAAGTTCTTCAGTATCATGGACTCAGAAAAGAGCAAGATCTTTCTTTCATTTCATAACTTGTTTCTTACATGAAACTTCATAAAAACTTTTTTCTAGCACAAGTAGAGGCAAAGGTCATCAATCAAGTTGATGAAATGAATTAATGCCATAAATTTCTTAAGTGAGCTTTTAAATTTTATTTTTCAATTATAACCTACATTCAATATTATTTATTTTTGTTTCAGGTGTACAGCATAGCAATTACACAATCATATTTTTCAGTACTGGTGTTTGTTTTTTTTAAAAAAGATTTTATTTATTTCTTTTTAGAGAGAGGGAAAGAGAGGGGGAGAAACATCAATGTGTGGTTGCCTCTCATGCACCCCCTACTGGGGACCTGGCCAGCAACTCGGGCATGTGCCCTGCCTGGGAATTCAATCAGTGGCCCTTTGGTTAGCAGGCCAATGCTCAATTCACTGAGCCACACCAGCCCACTGATATTTCGAGTACTCAGTACCTGACACCATACGTGGTCACTACAATACTGTTGACTACATTCCCTATGTCATACTATAGATCCCCGTGACTATTCTGTAACTACTAATTTTATTTCTTAATCCCTTTACCCTTTTCACCCAGCCCCTCAACTCTCTTCCTCTCTGGCAAATATCAATCTGTTCTCTGTGTCTGTAAGTCTGTTTCTATTTTGTTTATTTTGTTCTTTATATTCCACATATACGTGAAATCACATGGTATTTGTCTTTCTCTGACTGATTTCACTTTAGCATAATTCCCTCTAAGTCCATCCATGCTGTCACAATAGGTAAGATTTCATTCTTTTTTAACCACTGTGCTACTGTATAACTATACCACAGCTTCACTATCCACTCATCTACTGACGGGCACTTGGGTTGCTTCCAAATCTTGGCAATTGAAAGTAACGCTGCGATGAACATAGGGGTGCTTATGTTCTTTCAAATTCGTGTTTTGGGGACTGTTTGATAAAGACCCAGGAGTGGAAATGCCAGGTCATAAGGCAGATCCATTTTTTTGAGGTAACTCCACATTGTTTTCCACAGTGGCTGCACCAGTCTGCATTCCCACCAACAGAGCGCAAGGGTTCCCCTTTCTCCACATCCTCTCCAGCACGTATTGACTTACAGATGCTAGCTGTTCTGACAGGTGTGAGGTGATATCTCATTGTGGTTTTAATTTGCCTTTCTGATGATTACTGATGTCTGAGCATCTTTTCATGTCTATTGGCTATGTGTATGTCCTTTTTGGAGAAGTGTCTATTCAGGTCTTTGCCTACTTTTTAATAGGTTTTTTTTTTGGTGTTGTCTCAGTTCTTTATAAATTTCCGATACTAACCCTTTATTGGATGCATCACTGGCAAATACCTTCTCTTATCCAGTAAGCATGTCTTTAAGGTTTTTAAAAAAGATTTTATTTATTTATTTTTAGAGAGAGGGGAAGGGAGGGAGAAGTAGAAGTAGAGAAACATCAATGTTGGTTGCCTCTCACGCGCCCCTGGGAACCTGGCCTGCAACCCAGGTGTGTGTCCTAGACTGGGAATCAAACCAGAGACCCTTTGATTTGTAGGCTGGACTAAATCCACTGAGCCATGCCAGCCAGGACTGCCTTTTAGGTTTTGTTGTTGGCTTCCTTTGCTGTGCCAAAAATTTTGTTTGATGTAGTCCCATTTTCTGACCTGCTCCGTTTCCAACCTGAGCTGGTTCACCCCTCCTTAGGCAACCTGGTGGCCCCCACTCCCAGGTCACCGTATTGATGCCGAAATTAGTGCGGACACCCGATCGGCATAGCACACTACAGCCCAGACCTCCTGGGCTCAAGTGAGCCCCCTGCCTCAGCCTCCCGAGCAGCTGGGACTACAGGCACGTGCTACCGTTGTCTGGTCCATTTTTTTCTTTTTGCCCAAACAGATATATCAGAAAACATATTGCTAAATGCCTGAGATTTTTACTGCCTATGGTATCAAGTCTTACATTTACGTCTTTAGTCCATTTTGAGTTTACGCTTATGTATGGCATAAGGTAGTATAGTTTTATTTTTTTTGCATGTATCTAATTTTTCCTAACACTGTTATTGAGGAAACTATCTTTACCACACTGTATGTTCTTGAATCCTTTGTTATAGATTAATAGACCATATAGATGTGGGTTTACTCTGGGTTCTCTATTCTTTTTCCATTGCAATTGTAGCTAATGCAAACAGAACAATATTGAGGTGCCAGCTTCCATGCCTTCATAGTAAAACAATTGGTTCATGAACACATCATCTACAATAGATATTCATTTTGACTTAAATCATCTTCTTCATAAAAAAAAAAACATTAGGAAAAAACCCCAGACATACTGCTTCCGTCAATGTCAGCTTTATCTTTTGCTATGTGTACTGCTTACGGAGAGCTTTATGGGACATGGACTAATGCACTTATTGTTTTAAAAATTTTATTGATTATGCCATTACAGTTGTTCTATTTCCCCCCTTCACTCCCCCCCCATTATTCCCTCCTTTAGTTTATGATCACGTGTCTCAAGTTCTTTAGATTCTGTATTTCCCATACTATTCTTGCCCTCCCCCCTATTTTCTACCTACCGTCTATGCTACTTATTTTCTGTACTTTCTCCCCCCTTCTCCTTCTCCCACTCCCCTGTTGCTAACCTTCCATGTGATCTTCATTTCTATGGTTCCGCTCCTGCTCTAGCTATTCTCTTAGTTCGCTTTTGTTTCAGGTGTGGTTAATAACTGTGAGTTTGCTGTCCTTTCACTGTTCATATTTTTTATCTTCTTTTTCTTAGATAAATTCCTTTAACATATCATATAATAAGGGCTTGGTGATGACGAACTACTTCAACTTGACCTTATCTGAGAAGCACTTTACTTGCCTTTCCATTCTAAATGAAAGCTTTGCTGGATAGATCAATCTTGGATGTAGGTCTTTGGATTTCATGACTTGGAATACTTCTTTCCAGCCCCTTCTTGCCTGGAAGGTCTCTTTTGAGAAATCAGCTGACAGTCTGATGGGAACTCCTTTGTAGGTGACTGTCCCCTTATCTCTTGCTGCTTCTAGGATTCTCTCCTTCATTTGAATCTAGTGTAATGATGATATGCCTTGGTGTGTTCCTTCTCGGGTCCAAGTTCTTTGGGACTCTCTGAGCTTCCTGGATTTCCTGGAAGTCTATTGCCTTTGCCAGATTGGGGAAATTCTCCTTTATTATTTGTTCAAATAAGACTTCCACTCGTAGCTGTTTCTCTTCCCCTTCTGGTACCCCTATAATTTGGATTTTGGAGCATTTAAAGATGTCCTGGAGGTCCCTAAGCCTCTCCTCATTTTCTGAATTCTTGCTCTTCATTCTTTTCTGTTTGGTCATTTTCTTCTTCCTTCTGGTCTACTCTATTGATTTGAGTCCCAGTTTCCTTTCCATCACTATTGGTTTCCTGTGCATTTCCCTTCATTTCAATTAGTTTAGCCTTCATTTGTTCCTCTAATTTGTGACTAAAATCAACCAGTTCTGTGAGCACCCTGATGACCAGTGTTTTGAACTATGCATCTGCTAGTTTGGCTATTTCTTGGTCGCTTAGAGTTATGGGCTCTGGGGCTTTGAGTTCTTCTTGAGCCATGTTTTGGTCTGTTTGCGCCCGTTCTGTATGAGGGGAGCCTTAGGTGTTCACCAGGGCGGGGCCACCCAGGTCACTGGGTTGTAATGCTGTACGTGGGGGTGGGGTCAGAGGGGCAATAGCGGTCCTCTCTGCTTCTTCCTGTGGCTGGGGCCTGCGTGGTCTGTCTCACTGCTCACTCCTTCACTGGTTTATCTGCGTGCGAATGTGTGACCATGGTCAGCCTGCCGCCTTGCGCCCCCGTTGGGTCTGCCTGTTGCAACCCCACACCTGGGATCCTCCAACTGCCGCCCATGCGCCTGGGTCAGTCTGACCCAGTTTTCCCGCGCAACCCCGCTCTGCCAGTTGCTGGCTCCGTCCCTCTTACCGGTCTGGCTGAAGGCTTCTTTGTTGTCAGATTTCAGTATAATTCAATCTTCTGTGTTTTGGCTGCGTTTTTTGTTACTAAAACTTTGTTGTCTTTAAACTTGGTTGTGTGAGAAGGCACAGTGTTTCCACCTATGCCTCCATCTTGGCGGAAGTAATGCACTAATTTTATAAACTTGGGGAATACCATTTTCAATAGTGCTACATGAAGTATTTTCTTTCTTTCTTTTCTTTAATCCTCATCTCAAAGACATTTTTCCCCCACTGCTTTTAGAGAGAGAGGAAGGAAGAGAGAAGACATCGATGGGAGACAAAAGTATCAACTGGCTGCCTCCCATATGCACCTGGATGCCCAGACCAAGGATCTAGGTTCAAGGATCCAACCCACACCCTAAGCCTGTAACCTGACTGGGAATAGAATCTATAACCTTTCACTCACAGGACGACGCTCCAACCAACTGAGCCACACCTGCCAGGGCCATACCAGGTATTTTCTGAATAGGTTCTCTGGCTCATACCTTTTGAAAGTGACTTTCTTACAGATATCCTGACAATCTCACAATCATGACAATCTCACAATCACTTAACAGAAAACACAATTAATCTGAAGGAGGAAAGCATTTAATGACTACGCTTAGAAAACAAAACCAAGAGCAGAACCTCGCTTTATGTTGACTTCCAGAATGCATGAGTTAAAATTTTCAGGTTTTTGAAAGGTAAATTTATCTTGATGCCACACAAAGTGTTAGGGTTTTTATGAACTTGTATTATTCAGAACAATAAAATTCATTACTGAAAGCAAAAAGCCATTTATGTACACCCAACTTTATACAGTATCAGTAACCTAATACTGCATTCAAGATCTTTCTTTGTAAATTTTTGCCTAACCTAATTCCTATGTTTTTCAGAGGAAAAGATAAGGGCCTAATATTCCATTAAAGAAAAACACTTTTCAAAGAAAGTTAAGAACCCACTATAATTTATCATTTAAGGTTACAATATTAACACCCACTTAAATACCATAAGACAAGCTGGCTAAAATAATTCATCTGAGTTCAGTTTATCTTTCATTTCCCCTGTGAATTTTCACAAGGAGGCCACAAATTATTTTAGATGGAAGAAGTGGACTTTTGGAAGAGTGGAACTGCAAATCCAAATCCAAAGAGCAGGACATCAGGGGTATGGCTATTTCCAGTGCCCAGTGGGACCAGTCAAAGGGTGCCTTACCCAGGTTGTGCCGTTTCGACTTGGCATGTTCATGAATATGTTTCTTTGTGAAACAGCCAAAGAAGACACAGTGGAGGCAAGAGTGAAGCCTCTTCAGGTGGACACCACAAACATGACAGATGCACGACTTGGCCTGAAATTCAGAGAAGAGAATTAAAAACCACACATGGTATGACAGTTCTCAGAGAGAAATATTGAAGCACAGTGATCCATTTGCAAAGGGCACAGCTATGGGAGGGAAAGAAAGCAGGGGACTTCCTCTCCAAGTCTTACTATGCTAAAAGAGCATTCTGTTAATCCTTTCGATTATCCCCAAAAGTCCTTAGTTCACTTAACTCAATGCTAGCTCCATGTAAGAAAACTGCCCACAGCCTTAGTTACTGACACCCGTGAGCTCCTCGGATGGGCAGCGCCTGCAGCTGCAGGGGGCAGCCTGCATTCTGTCCCACCACCCCAACTCCCCCATTCCCATTCCAGGCTAGCAACACACAACCTCTTTGCCTGGAACCTGGGTATCATTTTAAATTTGATAATCCAGGTTCCCCAGCCACAGCAAATTTAGAAGTAATAATTACAGAAACAGATGGGGATATGAATCAGAGAATATACAGGAACAAAAAAAGAAACAGCTTTTGCCCATAACTAGACCATAGGAACCTAAAATCTTAATCATAGCAGTGACAAACTTAGTGGGGGACGATTCTCACATGCCCAAAACATCCAGGCATGCCAAGGTCTGAGCCCAGTGTGACAACCACATTTATTTTCACCGTAATTCTGAGACCATTAGACTGAATGTCCAGCCTCTGAGATGACACCACCCAGAGCATGTAAGTCCCTTCAGTTTTATCAGCGAGGAGAGAAGGGAGACAAACAAAGGTATAAAATAGGGTATGCAGAAGGGAAGACTAAAATCCAAAGTGCCTCTGAAAACAGCAGCTGGTAACACAAACAGTACATGCCACCTACTGTGCTGGGCACTGCCCCTCCTCGCCTCTGGGCGAGGGAGATGCAGGCCTGTCCACTTCCTGAAAACCCACTGAGGGGTGTGCTTTCTTCAAGAGGGTGGATAAGAAGCCATAACACAAAATAATAGCACACAGAGGTGGTACACCCTGGTATACTGAGAGAGACAATGAAATACTATGAAACTTAAGGAAGAACAATCACATCTAATTAAGGGAAATTCGAGGAAATCATAAAAGCTTGTTTGCAAGAGGTAGAATTTGAGCTGAGAGCTCAAAATTCTACCTAATCCTATGACATGTTTCTTATAAATGGTATGATCTTAATTAACATAGAATAAAGAGAATTGACGCAAAACAGAAGAAAGTCCTGCTATCCCTAAGAGCAAGGAGGGAAAAAGTATCCATTAAGCACCTAATTCCTCCCTCTGGTTGACTGCTATGTATTTGCAGACATGGGTGTCTCGACCATAGGTGACTAGCACCAACCAGTAAAAACAGGGTTTCCTGAGATGATAGATTACATAGACAAGAGACTGCTTCTCTAATATTAATCAAGTAGCTAACCAAGAGGCAATAAGCACTAAATATAGAGAACAGGAGCCTTTCTCTGATGTATTCATAAAAATCTCAACATCGTCTCTTGTATTATTAGTTTTCTCTGTATCAGCACTATCCAACAGAATGTTCTAGGATACTGGAAATGTTCTGTATCTGCACTTTCCAGTAGAGTAGCCACTAACCTCACATGGCTATCGAGCTCTTGAAATGTGGTTAGTGCCACCATGAAACTAGATTTTTAATTTTGTATCATTTTAATTAAAATTTAAATAGCAGTTTTGGCTAGTGACTATTATTATCAGACAACATAATTCTAGATCCTAAAATAAGCAACTACTAAATTACAGAAAGTTCTTTTCATAGTATTTGTCTCCTGAGCTCATTTACCACAGGAGCTAAAGCACAGAAACTAGAATTAATCTTGGATAACACAAGTAATAACAGTACTCACATTTGTAGGTTTGAAAACAAAACTCAAGATGTTTGCACAGGCAGGTGATTAGTACCACGAAGTACTAAGGAAAACAGACACTGATGTGAACGACTTACTTATAATCAAAGCCAACTGTCAGCTTTTTGTTTACTTTTTTAAAAGCCTTGAATTCAGCTGTGGCCATGGTTAGTGCAGCAGACACTGTGAACCACTCAGTATCAGTTACAAAACACGTTAACAGGGTTCAACTCCTGCATCTGCCACTTCCTGGCCATGCAACACTGAGCAAGTTATGTAACTTCCCTTCGCCTTAGTTTCTTCACTGTTAAAATATGTATGCTTCTATTTCACACAGCTGTTATGAGAACTGTAAGTAAACTGATGCTTTTAAAGTTCTTAGAATATTGCCTGTACATATTATCATTTGTAGTGGGCTGAGAGTGGCCTCCCAAAGGATTCGTCCACATCCCAATCTCCAGAACCTGTGAAAGTCATCATACTTGGAAACAGTATTTTGGCCTAGGTTAATGGTCTTGAGATGAGATTACACTCGATTATCTGGGTGGGCCTTAAATGCCATCCCACAGATCCTTACAGAGGAAGAGAGAGATGAGGCCACAAGTGAAGACCACGTGATGATGGAGGCAGAGGTGGAGTGATGAGGCCAGTCTTCCAGGAGCACAGCTTCTCTGGCAGAGCCTCTGCAGGGGCAGAGCCTGTCCAGCACCTTACTTGGGATTTGTGGCAGAACTTGCTTTAAACCATGTGGTGTGTAGTTGGCTCTGCACCTACCCCATCAGTTCTGTGCACAAAAGACAGCAGAGGTTTCCAAAAGACAAAACACTGTAAGATCTCACCAAAAGATTAAGTTCATGTTTGAAAGGACAACCTATAAAGAGATTTAAAAGACATATAAATACAATGAAATTCTATTGAATGATAAGAAGGAATGATCAACCCATGCAACATTTAAGTGCACATTGCCAAATGAAAAAAAGCCAGTCTAAAAAGGCTACATGCTGTGTAATCCCACTTATGTGACATTCTAGAAACGTCAAAACTATACAGAAGAGCCCAGTGGTTCTAGTAGTTTGGAGAGGGATGAGTAGGGGAGGTGTAGTTTTTTGGGCAAAGAAACTGTTCTGGGTAGATGTTGTGATAGAGGCATGACGCTATACATTTGTCAAAACCCACTGAACTCTATGGCATAAGAGCAAACCTTAATAAGTCAATTTTAAATAACTGGTTAGGCAGTCAGAGGGTGCCAGGACAGAATGCAGGCTATGAACACAGAACCAAACTGTTACAAATGTATGACATAACCTCCCTGAAAAGGGTGCAGATAAAGTTTTGGAATTTTTTTTTAAACATTTTTTATTGATTATGCCATTACATTTGTTCTATTCCCCTCCTCCTTTCCCCTCCACCCTGTACACCCCTCTCCCACCATTCCCCCCCTTTAGTTCATGAACACGTGTCTCAAGTTCTTTAGATTCTGTATTTCCCATACTATTCTTACCCTCCCCCCTATTTTCTATCTACTGTTTATGCTACTTATTTTCTGTACCTTCTCCCCCCCTCTCCTTCTCCCAATCCCCTGTTGCTAATCCTCCATGTGATCTTCCTTTCTATGGTTCATTCCTGATCTGTCTTCTTAATTTGCTTTTGTTTTAGGTGTGGTTGTTGATAACTGTGAGTTTGCTGTCCTTTCACTGTTCATCTTTTTTTTTATCTTCTTTTTCTTAGGTAAGTCCCTTTAACATTTTGTATAGTAAGGGCTTGGTGATGATGAACTCCTTGAACTTGACCTTATCTGAGAAGCACTTTATCTGTCCTTCCATTCTAAATGAAAGCTTTGCTGAATAGAGCAATCTTGGTTGTAGGTCTTTGGTTTTCATGATTTGGAATACCTCTTTCCAGCCCCTTCTTGCCTGTAAGGTCTCTTTGAGAAATCAGCTGACAGTCTGATGGGAACTCCTTTGCAGTTGACAATCCCCTTATCTCTTGCTGCTTCTAGTATTCTCTCCTTCATTTTAATCTTGGCTAATATAATTATGATGTGCCTTGGTGTGTTCCTTCTTGGACCCACCTTCTTAGGGACTCTCTGAGCTTCCTGGACTTCCTGGAAGTCTATTTCCTCTGCCAGAATGGGGAAGTTCTCTTTTATTATTTGTTCGAATAGGGTTTCCACTCATGGCTGTTCCTCTTCCCCTTCTGGTACCCCTATAATTCGAATGTTGGAATGTTTAAAGATGTCCTGGTGGTTCCTAAGCCTCTCCTCATTTTTTTGAATTCTTGTTTCTTCATTCTTTTCTGTTTGGTCATTTTTTCCTTCCTTCTGGTCTACTCCCTTGATGTGAGTCCCAGTTTCCTTTCCATTACTGTTGGTTTCCTGTGCATTACCATTCATTTCCATTAGTTTAGCTTTCATATGTTTCTCCAATTTGTGACTATAATCAACCAGTTCTGTGAGCATCCTGATCACCAGTGTTTTAAACTGTGCATCTGAAAGTTTGGCTATTTCTTCATCACTTAGATTTATCGGCTCTGGGGCTCTGAGTTGTTCTTGAGCCATTTTTGGTCTGTTCGTGCCCATTAAGTACGAAAAGCGGAGCCTTAGTTGTTCACCAGGACAGGGCAACTTAGGTCGCTGGTTTGTGACGCTGTATGTGGGGGCGAGGTCAGAGAGGGAGCAATGGCGGTCCTCTCTGCTCGCCAGTCTGTCCCACCGCCCCGGCCTGTTTATCCAAGCGTAAATGTGGGAGCCCACTGCCCTGCACCGTGTGGTCTCAATGCTCGCCTCTTCACTGGTTTATCTGCATGCAAATGCTCTACTGACCTCAGACAGCCAGTCACGCCTCTTCCCTGTGTCTGCCCGTAGCTAGCCCGCACCTGGGATCTGCGCCTTCGGCTGCTTGTGCACCACCTGTTCGGGGATCTTTTTTGCCAACCTGCTCCACTGCTGGCTTCGCTCCTCTTACCAGTTTAGCTGAGCATTTTGTTGTCTTTGGACTCTGTACTGTCGATTTGCTGTGTGGTTTGGTTGTGTTTATTCTTGTTAAAACTTTGTTTTTAGATTTGGTTGTGCACGGACGCAAGGTGTTTCCACCTACGCATCCATCTTGGCGGAAGTCCTCTGGGATTTTTATTTAGAAGTTTTGTCAATGTTTTTGT